TGCAACCCCAAAGCTTTTAAGTAAATGACACACGGAGGATGCCCCAGTGTCAGGGAAAGAAGCTTCAGAGTCCTCAGCGCAATCACACTCATGTCACAGAGGGGGAAACTGAGGCTCCTGGATGCTTTGCTGCAGCCCAGGCCCCCGCATCTAAACTCATCCCTGGGACTAGCCATCTTGAAGGACACAGGGTGGTAAATCAAAACAGAGCATGAGGAGTCCTCCCCAATTGCATCTCCTGTAGGGGACTGCATGTCATCTCAGAAGGTCGCTCATTTCCAGCAATGGCTCGAGATGTGGAGCCCCTTTTGGGGATGCTTCACATTTTGTCTAATTTGAGCATTACCTTCCCTCCTTCAGCTTTTATCAGCAGCCTGGCTGAAGTTTATGACTCAGTGCTATAGGAACAGAATTCCCAGTGCTGCCAAACAATGCCTCCAGCCAGTGTCTGTTGGGGTGGGGGTGGGGGTGCACAGTGGGGAGTTATCATTTTACTGATACCACATTTTTTAACTGAAAACTAAGGCCTGGTGTATGTTAAGTATTTTAAAAAGGGGGGAAAGGACAAGATAATTTCCAATGCAGCTTGCATTGCCTAAGAGGTCTTGTGGGTGGTGTTCCTTTTAACAAGCAACTTATTATGTGCTGGGGGATGAGGGCGCTGGGGTGGGAAAATGGGAAAGGGAAGTCCCGGGGTGTTGTGTAATAACACATTGGCACCTTGGGAATACTTCCGGATGTGTGGGCTTCTGAAAAGTGAATGGGAATGCCACCATAAATCTGTCACCCACCCTCACACTGGTGTTACCAAACCCAGGGAAAACACTGGCCCAACTAAGTGGTTGGTGACGAAAAAATAATGAAGAAGAAGAAGAGAAAGGAAGGAAGAAGGAAGGAAAGTCATCCATTCAGATGGGGGTCAGAGTAGTAGAGTAGAAAAATCAGGGGGTCTCTACTCAGTCTGAGATGGGATCACACCTCTATGAGCTGTGTTACCTTGGCCAGATTAAGACATCATAACAGGTCTTAGATCCCTCATCTGAATATTAGAGTCCTCTCCTAGGCTCACACTAAAGAAAGGGGCATGACATGAGACATACATCACACCTAATGGGTGACTGTAAATGGTGGTTGTTGCTGATACTCATCCCCCACCCCCACCCCCACACATACGCACACACTGAGATAAGTAACAGTTAATGTACTTCAAGCACATCCAACTTGCTAAGAATGGGGCTAAACCTCATAGTATCTTATGACAATAATTTTCAGTCAGGATTCTAAGTGACAATCAACAGAAACCAACTTTGGCCAACTGAAGCAAAACAAGCAAACAAACAAAATCTATTCAGAGAATACTGGATAGTTATAGAACACTCTCTGGGAGGGCTTGGAGAGCCAGGCTTGCACACTCCGAAGCCCAATACTAATCTCAAGATGAGGTCCCAGGACTGGTCTTGTGAAGATAGTAGAACATGGTCACTTTAACACCAATGCCACATGCTGTCACTGGTACTGTGGAAACACACGGGTTGTAGCCATCCTTATCAAAACAACTGGGGGGAAAGTGTAGTTCTTGTGCCCATGCTCAGGCTGCAAAGGGGAGTCAGGGAAGGAGACTTTTGGATTTTCAACTTCTGTAGAGGGCTTGGGCTCTGCCTCATTATTATTCCATCAAGGAGAATTATTTCCTAAATCTAGGAAGGAGATTCAGATAATAAGTTTCCAAAATTATTGATAAATATCTTCCACAGTTGAGTCTCGGACTTTTACCATTTTCTGGATGAGAACACCGACATTTAGCTAAGGTCGCGTGTCTAAGCCATGGTGTGCACCCAAGTCAGTATCACTCAAGCCTGTTCTCTTGGCCACTGTCTTGACAAATACAATGATGAAACCAGTCCACCTCAGCAAAGCCTCCCACACTCCAGTGCCATTTCTCTGACTCACTGAAGCTGCATGTGGTGGGAGCCAAAGACTCACTGTCTATTCTTCAGCTGTTCTTAAGGGAAGATGGTTTTCTAGACTCAAAGGCACAGAGTTTGTCCTTGGAATGTAGTTCCTGGGAGTTGGGCTCTCCGGATTGATTCCTTAATTCTTGGAATGTCCCGTGTCTCACTGAGTCTCTATAGTGGAATTCTAATTGGTGAGGGTGGGTGTGTAGCTGAGGTCATTCCTCTAACACAAACCATACTCAACATACGAGGTAACACAGAATCTTCCCTGGGCACCATCCACCCCACTGACAATTCTGTATTCCAGTCCATTAATTCACTAGACAGACTGTTCTAAAGCAGTGTGTTCCTTGTTTGCCCTCAAAATCCTACACGACCAGGAGATAACCTTTTTTTTTTTTTTTTTTTTTGCAGGTAGCTCACCACTGTCTGAAGTCAGACTCTGGGTTTGCATCCCGGTTCTACCATTTAACTGCATATCCTTGGTTCACCTCTCATGCCTCAGCTTCCTCTTGTGTAAAAGCAGGACCATAAAAGATTATTATGAAAATGAGAGTTTATAAATGTGCTTGGTATATCATGGAGGTTCAATAAATATTGCCATCGCCAGCAGAATACTCAGAATCTAGTAGAGAACAGTATATCAAATGGTGACGGTCCAGATCTCGCCTTCTTGTCACCTCCCTCACCTTCACCTCTTTCCTCTTAAGCATCTCAGTTAACACAGTTTAAAAATCACTGATCTAGTCCAAAACAGTCATTCTGGCTAAAGTTGAGGAGGGAAGTTAGGCCCAAGGTGGGGGCGGCGGGGAAGGCCCGCTAGGACTGGACTCACTGTCCAGTGCTCTTTCTAAGAATCTCCAGGCCCCACCATCGTATGCTTAAAATTCAGTTCTTTTTCTTAGAAATGGCAAACCATGTCATAACTGTCACCTCCTCTCTGCACCAGGCTTCAATAACCAAGACTATCAAAGACTTCAAATCCATAAGCCAGCGGTCAGCAAAGGTCTGTAAAAGGCCAGATTAGTAATAGTTTGGGCTCTTTGGGTCATAGGGCCTCTGCTGTACCCGCTCAATAATTTGTAGCAGGAAAGCAGCCATAGATGATACGTAAAGTAAGGAGTATGCTGTGTTCCAGTAAGACTTTACTTTCCAATAGAGGCAGTAGGCGAGTTCCGGCCCGTGGACTGGAGTTTGCAGACCCCTTCCATGGATGATGAGCTTCTAGGTGTCGGAGGCTACCTTGTTTTTGCGTATTGCTGCATGGTGCCGAAGCACCCCAGAATGTGGGCACCAGGGCCACCCGAGCATCTCTTTGAGGGTCCCATATCGTACTTTCACCACCACATCCTCCCTTCCTTCCAGAAGCACTTAAGTTACATGCCACCTTAGTGTGAGTAAAATAGGTAGATATTTTCCAGCATGATCTGGGAGTGATGCTGGGTGTCACGAGGATGATGACAAAGGCAAGCAGCTCATGGGCATGGGAAATAGTCACACACCTTGGGAATAGCACAAGTCAAGTGTAGGTAAGGCCTTTAGAGACCACCTAACCCAATCCTTTGAAGTTTACACCAGGTAAACTGAGGCCCAGACGCAGGAAACAACCTGGCCAGTGTTATGTGGCAAGTTCTCAAGCACAGTGAGGACTAGAGCCTGGTTTTCCTAATTTTCAGCCCAGGCTCCTTCCGCCACATCACCAGGCTAACATCAAGTTTTTACCATGGACCATGCACAAATCAACAGAGCAAAGAAAACAGCCTTCTGTCATTTAAAAACCCAAGGTCCTGCCTGGAAATTCTCCTTCTGTCTTTCCTTCCTCCACATCTTCCTTTCTTCCATCCACAGGTAGTTGTGGGAAACCTCTTATTGTGTTGCTGAGCCCCTACTTGGTGGCAAGGAGACAGTAGGTGCTCAATCCATGTGTGCTGAGAATGGACTAAGGGTGAATGATACATACGTGGTGAAGAGCTCACAGTGCTCACAATCTCCCGGGAGAAGGAAGGTCTAAATGCGTCCCTGTAATGCACTGCGAATGGGAGGACCCGATGACATTTCCTTCCCTTTCGTCTTCCTAGAAAACTGCCTTTCAGTGTGAAATCTTCCCACCAATGTTTTCATCCCCTCAGTAGCTGCCCCTTCTCTCTTCAGATAGAGCACCTCTGTCTTTTGTACTTGCAAATGAATTGTGATTAGTTTTCACCTCCAGCCCAGGGGATTAGCCGGGGGACCTTTGATCTTCAGGTATCGATTTGCATCTTAAAGGAAGTATGATCTCATCTGAGCCAGCTCAAAATTCCATCCCTGCCCCCCAACCCCTGTCTGTTTACCAGCCCCGGGCTGGCCAGGGCCTCCCAAGTGGGACTGTAACAACAAGATCAGCCAGACTCCTAGAGAAGCCAGAGGAACACAAATTTCCCAACTGACTCAGTAAAGATGGGAAAAGGACGTTTGCTTTCTAAACACAAGCTGGTCTGCTCTTCCTCCACCCTCGCGTCAGAGAAACGGCCCGAGGTTCTGAGTGTGCAAAGGGGACTACCGGGGTTCCCGGATCTTCGCTGGAGGTTGTGCAGCAGAAGGAGCTCGGCGCGTGCTTAAGAATCAGAGTCAGGTTCAAGCCCTGGTTCTGTCTCCAATCACTTCCAACCCATGAGATTCTGGACCACTTTCATCATTTCTCTGGCTTGTGAAATCGAGAATACAAGCCTTTAAAAATCCATACTAATCACCCTCCTGGAGAGCTGGTGCGAAGAAGAGCGAGGAAGAAGCTGGCTTGAAAACGAGTTACCAGCAGCCTCTGCTGTCAGGCACGGGAGGGAACGTAAGCTCTGTGAGGGCAGGAGCATTTGCCTGTTTTCCTTTGCTTCCCATTGCCGTATTCCCCCGGGGCCTCAAACAGGGTCTGGCCCACAGGAGGCAATCCGTCAATATTTGTAATACAAAGGAATAAATCATCATTAGTCCTCACTACTGCCATTACTGGCCTGACACTATCCCGCAGGGTCCCCTTCTCCAGCTAAGCCCCAAGAAATGACACGCACTTACCAATACAATTGAAGGAGTCTTCCTGTCGGCAAAAGAGGGAGCAGCCATCACCACTGAGCTTATTCATGTCATCACATTCTTCACCTCGGCTTCTGCAGACCGGGAACAGAAGAGAGATCTGTCAGAGAGAGCAGCTTCAGAACCACAGCTGGCCACGGGAAAGCCCCTCCCCAGGCCATCAGCTTTCCAAGAGGCCTCAGGCAACTCCCTCACCCCGAGTGTCCATCTCTTCTTCTTCCAAATGAGATGTATAAAGATATACATGGGTAAGACCCTATTACTTTGCCTTATTTTGTGCTTGCCACGACAAAGCTGAGTTCCTGCCTCAAACCTGTTCTCCGAGATCTTGTCAGTTAGGTCAGATGGGAGAAAGGAATGGATGAAGGGATGAAGGAACTGACCTTGCTCCCCCGTGTCTGGGAGATCTCGCTGCCATTTTAAAATGGTGGATTTGAAGGAAATTTCTGAGCTTCTGAAATATAAATTCTGTTCTTCACCATGCCCTACCTTACCCTCCTCCTTGTTCCCCACCTCCCCCCAACTGTGAACTTAGAAATAAAGATTTTTTTTTTTTTTCCAGTCACATGCTTGGGTCTGGTCTTCCTTTCACTAGAAAGTACTGCTCTCTCCATCCGGTGCGTCATCTCATGGGGTGAGAAACTCTAAGGCCCGTGGGAACTATGCTGCTAGGAAATAAAAGTGTCTCCTCTTGTTTGTTTGTTCGTTTTGTTTTGTTTTGTTTTGTTAGGAATTATTTCTATCACCTCAGTTTGGCAGAGGTTGGGATGGACAGAAACTGAGCAATGCTCTCTGAATTGGACCGGGGAGATGAGAAGGAGGAGAAAGAGCTGAAAGACTGAGTGGATTATCACGACCTGGAAAATTCTCATCCCTTGAGAAAGAGAAAACATGGGTTTAGATCTTCTTATTCCAAACCAGCTGCGTGATCTCAGACAAGTCTCTTAATCTCGATTGGACCATTTAAATCAATAAAGACTAAAAATAATTTAAAATTCCATTCCTTAGTCACAATTGCCACATTTCAAGCCTTGATAGCTGTATGTGGTATGCAGCTAGTGGCTACTGGACAGAACAGCACGGACTATATTTCCATCACTGCAGAAGAATCCACTGGACCGCGCTATTCCAGAAGCTAAGTGTCCATGTTCCCACAGGTTCAGATGGAAATAACTATACCCGCTCCTTAGAGCTGGCACAAGAATTGAATGGAACTTTACGTGGCTGGCACGGTGCATGATAGATAGTAGATGCCCAGGGAATCAGGGTTCCCATCCCACTCAGTCCCGGGAGGTCTCTGCAGACTGTGTGTCAGCTGACCCTCCCTCCCTAGAGACCAGCTGGGACCTGTCAAAGCATGGAAGAGGCCTCAGACTTTTCCTTTCACCCGGGCAGTTAACACTGGGCAATGTTTGTTGCTTTTAGGAGGTGTCAGAGTAGCAGGATGGTGCCTTGCAATCAATCCTTAAGATGGCTGGGCCATTGCATGGATTTCTGAAGAGCCTCTCAAGTTCTCTCCTGTCTGCAAATGCATGAGCCGAGGAGAAGAGAGATCCATATTCCAAGCTGGGCCCATATTTCCAATCTCTGCCAGTGAATCTCGAGAGCTGGAAATTGGTGACAAGGCTTTGTGTTATTTAGCTATCGCATGCGTTATCTAGGGAGAGATTTTTTTTTTTTTTTAACCTGGGCTGGTTTCCCAAAGCCACAAAGGACACATCTAACTCGCCTTCCCTCACCACCCAAACAGTATGTTCTATTGGTTTAAGCAAAACATTAGTGTCACCACAAATATCTTCTAGGCATGGCAGATCTATCATTACACAGAGAGCTTCTTAGAGAAACCTTCTTTGACCTCCCAAGCTGAAATGGGTGTCCATCTTCTCTGTGTCCAAAGACACCAGGCTCCATCTATCCTAGCACTTGTCAAACTGACCACCTTTGCGTTTACCTGACAGCCCCCTATACTGGGCTTTCAGATGTCAAAGGAAATGACAGTCTTTGTCATCCTAGCACCGCAATGCCTGGCATAGTGCCTGGGATACAGCAGAGAGCAGGGAGCTACTCCCTCACTTACTAGTGTTGTGGGCCTGTTGGTGACACAGCAAGGCAACCGTGAATCCAAATGCGAACATGGGCCGTAGATTCGCATCTTGGTTCTGCTCTTTATTGGGTGTGTGAGCTTGAGAAAGCCATGTTAGTCTTTGTACATCAGTTTTCTCTTCTGTAAAGTATGGTAATAGAACCTATTTCATATGGTTGGACCCAAGGAGATAATGGTGTAGCCCAATGCTCGTGCATAGTGGAGGCTCAATAAATATTTATGAATATTATCATTATATTCATCCAGTGCTTTCATCCATTGGGGCCTCATTAAGTGTTGAGCCTATCTCAGTATCTTTGTAAATTCCTTTAAATATATATAGTGAATCAGCACATATCATCCCATGAAAATTAGCTAAGATGACATTACTCCTTTTCCTCAAAGTTTTTGTTTGTTTTTTTTTTTGCCTAGGGAACCATCCATAAGCTGCATTTGGTTTTCTACAAAGCATGTCAACAACTATTTGGTAACTTAAGTGATATCTGTGTAGGATACCAATTTTAGGTAAAAATACTAAAAAACTTTATTGAAAACACTACTTATATTAATAATAATAAAATAAAATAAATAATAATAGTTTTAGATCAGCAAGAAGAATGACGTTGTTTGCAGTGTTTTACCAATGCTTCTATATCTGGCTCCAAAATGGACAGACTGAGTTGTAGGTCAGGTTCCACATCTGGTGAGATTCTTTTTTTTATTCTTTGTGCTAAATTAGAAAATCCCAAATCACAATTATGGGTTGTCAACTATGACCGCAAGTGTTTCCTGGATATTCTGGATACGCAGCTCAATCTTGGGCCCACAAATGATGGGGCACTCTTCCTGGAGACTGCCTTGCTCAGTTGCTCAGTATTCCATCAGACAACAGCTGTGTTAAGAGCCAGAAGTTGATGTCTTAATGTGGGAGAGAATGGTGAATGGCTTCCCTTTCCCCAGTTGTGTTATATTAAGCACTGGAAACTGTATCTTCATGTTTGGTTGCTGCATTTGGATAGGATTTTAAATGCACACAACAGCACACCGTGAGTTTCCTTCGACAAATGAGGAGCTTTATCTTCTACGCTTGACCAGTCAAATTCTTGGCAATCAGGTGGTTTTCACCATAATTCCATACTTAAAAGTCCTTATACGATCTCCTTGATATTAAAATCTTGACATTTCAGCTTTGAAATTATAGTTGCAGGACATTTAAGACATGAATCCATACCCCCGAGATACGTCACCTCAGCAAGCCTCTTGAAATCGTGCAAATAATCATTACTGGCTTTGCTGGTGTTAACATTAAAAAAAAAAAAAAAAAGTCCTCTCTTATCCCAAAAACTTGAATTTGTACCTTTCTTGTAACAGCTCATATGCTTCAGTCTATGGGGTAGCAGAAACTTTCTTTCTGCACAGCTAAATCAAAAAGACGTAACATGCTGGCCATCATCTGAACATACATGTAACATTCAATCTCTCCTTCCATGCTAAGTCATGACCAGAAAGCAAACTGCTTTCTGACATCTGTGTGGATGGGTATTCATGTGCAAATGTTTTACTTGCACAACTGGGTTAGCCTTGCTGTGCTCCTGGCCGCTCCTTTCATCCCAAAGCAGGTTTCCAGTTTATATCACATACCACAAAATCAACAGTACCAAATGAAATTGCTCTTCCCCTCCAGCACTAGAGTCAATGATGAACTGCAAGAGTCATCTAGCACTTCTCTTTCATGTATGTACTACACGTATGATTCATGGTCTACACCATCAGCGGGTTCATCCAACTGTGAAGCAAATTCTCTTTACAGAGCTCCTCCCCCTCCACAAACAGCCACTGCAATTCCACAGATATTATGTGACACCCAACAGCTCCATTTAATGAAGGGATTTTGCCAATAGCTTGTTTGCCCTCTCCATGTGTGACGTTTGTCATTAAATCGGCCCAGAGTTTTAAAAGTCTCTTAGCAATAGTGTAACTTGCAACCACGTTAGCAATAAGGAACACAGTTTTAGCAATAAGAAACTTAACTGTGAACAGTTTCTGGTCTCTTTTTCACCTCCAGGGACAAAACTATTCTGTTTTGTGCCAGAAAACATTTTTGTGTTAATTTGGGAGGAAAAAACTCAAAGGTTTACTTTAAAAAAAAAATTTTTTTTTAAACAATGTGAGAGTCTTAATGGCTTCTTGCCCCTATTTCACAGTTGTACAATATCTCACCCTGTGGACAAGGGGATAAATGGACTGATGAACCAATAAAATCCATGGTGTAGACATGCAGCTTTATATTTTCTACTCACACTTTTCCTTTTCGGCTGCTTGTGTGGAGTCTTTACACTTTCTGGTTCATTTGCCTCCTTGTACTTATTTATGTTCACATTCAGCATTCACTCTGGAATACTGTTTACTATTTATGGTTTCGACAGTATAGTGAGTTAGAATATTTTGTTATTTTTATGAGCCTTTAACTCATTTTGTAAATTGTTCATATAAGACAATACAACAGAAATAACAAATAGATAGGCAGTTTTAACAAATTTAAATGGTTAACCAGCAAAGAATGTAAAAGTGTTTTGACCTGGATGCCCTGTGTCCTATTAACTGAATGTCAGCTGGAGTGGAAAAACAAACAGAATCCTTGCAGTACCCATAAAACGATCAAGAATAAGAGCATACTGGTAGTAAGTGCATAATGGTAGCTCTATCAGAATCACATATTATATTGCATATATGTGTTCAAAAAAGAACCCTGCTTTTCCTTTGAGGCCAGCGGACTACCTGCAGACAAATTGACAGACTACTGGTAATTGCTGGTAACTCACAGCTCCCACATTGAAGAGTCTCCCATAAGCTCTTCTCTGTAGCACCCTGACCTTCTCTTGGTCTCATGAGCATCACTCCCTTCCCTTTCTTTAATTAGATCTACTTACTTCTGGATAATGCCATCACCACAGTACCCACTTCCGTGGATGTATACGGCAGCAGGTGATGGCTCACTCTCTTCACTTCCCGAAATGGTGATGACCCAGTACTGGTACACACTGCCAAGACTGAGATCCCTGGAAAACAAAGGAGGTTATTAACAAAGACGATTAGCTATAGAGACACAATGCTGGGGGCAGACGAAATTGATCCCCTTGAGTATGTTCTATCAATCTTGCTTACGTTTGAAATCACAGGCACATTAAGTTATCCAATAATTTGTATTGTCTACTGTGGTTAAGGCACTCTCCTATGCATGATGGACCACACCAAAATGTAGAGCAATAATGACTAGTGTCAAATGACAGACAGCCATGAATATTACCAGGTACTTTTATCTTTAATTTAACCTTTATAATAACCCTGGTGGATAAGAAGTGGATGGTATGTGGCCCATAATGAAGGTGTTTGGGAGAATGTCATCCAGGAAAATGAAATGGGATAAGCAGACAGAGCTGGGAAAGTACCATGCCAGATCCTGTGATCATTATCTGATCTTTTCGCCTCCTTTTAGGCCCTGAACAGAAACCCCATTACATGTGAGCAAGCCCCTTCCTTATGCTTCACATCCCGTGACTGCCCACCTCTCCACCTCTTGCTCGTCCCTGTCTCTCACTCTTCACTAAAATAGTAACAGTTGCAGCATCCATTAACTGAATGTCAGGCTTGGGGCAACACACGTTCCATGTATTTTCTCATTTGAGAATCAAAGCAACCCTACATGTGCGCTAGTGTTTTCATGTTTATTTTACAGATGATAAATCTGAGGCAGAGAGAGGTTAATTAACTTGCTTACAATCATGTGCTACTAAATAGCAGCCTGCATTCTGCCTCCCTAATCCATAGCTCAGGCCTGTTTTAATAATCTCATCCCTTGCAAAGGGGGATTCTGTCCTGAAATTACAATTCCAGGCACTGGTGGCTCTCCCCACTGCTCACAAGACCCCCCAGTGCAATGCCTGCTCCCCCTTCCTCGCGCTCAACCTTATTCCAGATTTCCTTCCTCCCCTTCCTCAGCCCCTCTCAGCTCCCCGCTTGAATTCATCCTGCCATCAAGCCTGGCTACTGCCAATTATCCTCCAAGGCAGAGATATATTTATGTCAATTGCACATCACCAAATCACAATGCCCATTTCCTTTTTGACCACTTTCGAAGGGTGATGTTATTCCCTTTGTTACCTCCCTCCGCATTAATTATTTACTTTTTAATAATAATAAAAGTGCCACGGGAGAAAAAAAAAACCCACAAAATGATAATGAAGAGAATTCCTTTTAGATTCCAGAGTTGGGGGGTGGATGATGTCAAAAAATCTCAGGTTCTCCTGCCCATCTGTTGTTTCAGCTGCTGTTAGGGCTGGGGCTGTTTGGATAAGGCCAATAAGGTAACAGGTGCAGAGGCAATGGGCAGACAATGTCTCCTGACTCTCAACACAGCGATGAGTATGAGTTTATGAGCATTGAAGGACTCTAGTAAGGAATATAACCTTCCGGAGAATGCTGGACTTGTGACCCAAAAGAGAGTTTGTTTTGGTAGTGCTGGAACAGAAAGCAATATTGGGGAGTAGACCAGAAGTCCCTGGGGGTTCCATCAGTGTTCTGCCAATGAAAGTTCGGTAAGTAAAATGCATACAAATATCGAGATATTTTACATAGGAATGTATGAATAACTGTTGCCTTGTAAACTTCTGGGATGCTAATTTATGGATATAGGCTTTCTTTCTTCTTTTTAAAAATGTTTATTATTTTATCCACCTCTAGACTAACAAACATATACTTTTTCTGGTGGTGTTTCTAGAACTGAAATATTGTGGTGGTGGGGAGAGTGGTCTTCCCTGGGGGATACAAGGAGGCACAAGATAAAGAAGACATGCATTCTCTTGTATATTCATTTTCCTCTAAAACATGGAAGCATGTTTTATATTAAACAAATATGGCCGTGTTATGAAATAAAATAAGAAATTTTCTTCAGACTGCATTGCAGGCCACTGGGGGCATATGGCCACTGTCTGAAGCAGATGGACCACTTCTGGGGAACGCAGGAGGGTGTGAAAAGTACTTCTCTACGTTGTGTTTTCCATTTGTAATGTGTGTCACAGATGATTTATGGCTGATAATATTTAAGGTGCTCTGCTAATATTTGTGAACGTTTCCCTCCTCCCCCCTACACTGTCCTCCCTCCTTCCCTCTTCCTTCTCCTGCTTCTCAATAAACACAAGTCTGAGGCAAGCAAACGCGTGTTTCTACCCTGGCTTCATCACTGACAAGCTGAGAAGTCATAGGCAGGTGTTTCTCGGCTCTGAGCCTATTCTGAATTAGTCATCAACCTGACCTCACAGCAGTTTCCTACAGATTGAATGTGAGAACACATAGAAAGCACATATGTGCCAGCCTATGAGAGTTAATAAATATTAACCCATTACTCTGAATGCTTACATTGTCAATGCTCTCGTTCACTGGAGTTATGCTACATTCTCTTTAGTAGAAGGGATGGAGTGACAGATAGCTATACGTAACCTTGGTTAGGCAAACCCACGAAAGTGGGGCCACCACCTATTGTGTGTGCCACAGCTTAGTGGAAAGTCTCTTTTCTACCACGTCATGTGGCTAGAAGACCCTCAGTGCCTGCAGCTTGCTCTCGTTCCACGTGGCTATTCCAACTTCTGAAAATTCTGGATCCCAGAAGGTTTGTCTTACCCTGGGGCAAAATCTGTCTCCCTATAACTTCCACCCACACCTCCTTCTCACCCACTAGCATCACACAGAACACATCTGATTGGTAGGAAGACCTTGATAAGCCTCCTTCCAACTGTGTGTGCATGGCTTATGTATCCTTATTTCATGGAAGCCTGACAGCAGCTCTTTGAAGCAGGGGTTGTTATCCCAAGTTTTCAGATAGGACAATAGAAGCCCAAGTCACTCCCTTGGTAAAAAGGTAGAGAAGAGGGAACAGGACCACTGCTATTAAAAATATTATGTTTTTCCACTGAAGAATGCTTATGATAAAACTACATCTTCTCCAAGTTGAAGTCAAAATTAATGCCAAATGAGGGCTCTTTTCTCAAGAATCTCAGTCGAATAGAATCCCTTCGGAAGGACACGCTAGTGGTCTCTAAAGGCTTTGCTGGAGGTTAGGACCTATTTCATGGATGGTCTAAAAGTGGGCCACTGATGTCAAATTGTTCCTTTTAGCTGCTCCTAAACCCATCTGGAAAGTCTTACGCTGTCCCTCGAATTCCTGCCTCTCCTGCACCTCCCATCTCCATGCAGACCCTAAACCCTGTCACTTTTCCTCACCTCAAAAGCTTCCATGTCATCCCCTCAACATCCGTGTTGCTGCCAATATCTCAACCTTGATGTCTGAACCAGCCCCTGGTATCTCCCTTTACCAGGCTTGCCAACACCATCAGAATATTCTGAGGTCCAAAGCCACTCCCCAGCTCAAAATCTTCTCATTTAGAGCAGTGATGGGGGCACACTACCAAGCCCAAACTCCCTATTTACTCTTTGTTGGGAACTAAAATGTTACCACTTCATCTGAAACATGATAAATTGCATCACTTCTGATTTCTTTCATAGAATTCTGAGTGTCATTTATTTTTTTTTTAAAACTAACCTCCACTGGTATTTAATGGTCAATTCCTCAAACTGCATCTCAGATGAATTTCATGTGTCCAGCTAATAAACTTAAATTGCAGTATTGAAATGTGATGAGATTGCTTGGCTACTTTTGAGGGGTTGTTTTATGCATCTTTTATATGACTTTTAAAAAAAAAAACATTGCTAACAGTTAGCCATTGTTCCTTCACAAATGTCTCAAGTGATGTATCAGCCTTAGTTTTCCATTTCTGGGAATTACAAACAAAAATAGTGGTATTTTTAAGTGCTGTGATTTTTCAGTAGTTATCCTCAGAGAGGTCATATTGATGGCAATGTATACGAGATCTGGAGCCCAATCTTTTTTATTTTTTATTTATTTTTCAAAGATTTTACTTTTAAGTGATCTCTACATCCAATGTAGGGCTCGAACCTACACCCCCAAAATCAAGAGTCACACGCTCTACCAACTGAGACAGCCAATGGCGCCTGGAGCCCAATCTTTCAGTTAAATTTAGTTACAGATTATGAAATCATTATCTTAAAAATATTATTATATACACAAATATCCATAAGGAGGCTAAGCTCTACCTGACCTTGCTTTTGGAAAAAATGCATATTTCTTAAAGTGCTGGTGTGTAGTTCATATTGTGATTGGTCTATTAAAACCCATCTGAAATCTATAGGTAAGTCACTTCACTTCTTTGGGTCTGTTTTTCTACCTTCTAATAAGGATATATGATTCTTGTCCCATACCAGAAAAGAGGGACAGAGAGTCTCATTGCAATATGGAAGTATCCCATTTTGCTGCTTCTAGGAAACACTCTCTAAAGATTGATTACTCCTTATTGACCCCCTGTTGTTTCCATATCATACCATTCCCTGATCATACTCTGTCTCTCCTCATAGTCTGTGTAACTGTGTCATGCTTTTTTGAAACTCCTTCTTTTGCAATAATAGCAATTGTCATTTCCATTTGTTGCCTATTTATTATACGCCAGGCACTATGCTCAGTACTTTCTATGAATCATCTCATTTAATCAAAATAACACTTCATTGAATAATTATGATGATCACCCCTTTCAGATGAAGAAAGTCATATTTGGGAAGGTTACTCTACGGCCCACAGTGACACTGCTTTGGGGACAGGGCCTTGAGCCAGGTCTAACTCCATCGCAAGGGTGGTTACAAATGAGAGAATACTGCAGAACAGAAGTTAAAAGCCCTAGTTTTGAACCAAGTAGAGTCCACATACAAAGACCACTTGGAAAGTTCTAAAAGTTAGGAGAAAGACAAACTGCCTTAAACACTACCACTACCACAAGCCATTTCCTTTCTCTGACCATCCACTTCTTGATCAGTGAAATGGAAATCTGGGAAGATGATCAGCTTTGCAGTGCATAGTTCAAATTTCATGAGAAATGTAGTGTTGCATCTTTTCTACCAGCTAGAAGCTGCCTCAGCAGTTACAATTGTGCACTGA